AGGATCCATGTTTAGGCATGTAGCGTTTCTGGTGGATGTTCTTTCGTTGGTTCAGTCAGTTCATATGGAATTGTCTTCGTTTGAAGTAGCGGATCATCCGTTGAAGCAGCGGAATGGCGACCCGGGAGAGCATTTTACGAGAGAAGAGATCAAGAAGTACATAAAGATCAAACCGAATCGGCTTGGAAAGCAGAATTTCATGGGAGCTAATGGAACATTCACTTCGATCGGACACGCTTGTTTCGCGATGAAGGAAGATCTAGAAGAGTATATGGACTACGACGTGGGAGAAATCTGCAATGATGATTGGAGATTAGCTCAGAAGCTTATGGTTCACGGATGCGATCCGTTGCCTAGAAGACGGTGCTTCTCCCGTGGACCGCAGTTGTACCAGAAACCGTTTCCGATCAATGAGTCTTTATGGAAGCTACCGGATAATCGGAATGTGAGATGGGGACAGTATAAGTGCAAGAACTTTACTTGTCTCGCTAGCAGCACAACAGCGCGAAAAGGGTTCTTCAAATGCACTGATTGCTTCAACCTCACGCACCACGAATCGCCGAGATGGGTTAACCGAGGGGAAATCGATTTGGAAACAAACCAAACCGCGGATTTCTCGATACAGGAAGTACTCGAGATTAAACCAGGAGAGATTAGAATCGGATTGGATTTCAGCATTGGCACCGGAACTTTCGCAGCGAGGATGAGAGAGCAGAACGTCACGATTATATCAGCAACAATCAACCTCGGAGCTCCATTCAACGAGATGATCGCTCTTCGCGGTTTAGTCCCATTGTACTTAACCGTGAACCAACGCTTACCGTTCTTCGACAGCACGCTTGACATGATTCACACGACGAGGTTTCTCGATGGATGGATCGACCTGATACTTCTTGATTTCGTGCTGTTTGATTGGGACAGGGTTTTAAGACCAGGTGGATTGTTGTGGATCGACGGTTTCTTTTGCTTGAAAGAAGATTTTAGCGATTACATTGAAGCGTTTAAAGCGTTGAGGTATAGAAAACATAAATGGATTGTTGTGCCTAAGAAAGATAAAGATGATAAAGAAGTTTTCTTCTCTGCTCTGTTAGAGAAACCTCCAAGACCCTTTAGATGATATATCAGTTCTTGTGTTTACTATTGTCTTTGTAATATTATTCTTATATGAAAATGTTTGATTATATGTTCTTATTTGCTTGTATAATTCATACAAAC